ATTGTCTATTTCCTCAGCAGAATGTAAACCCAGTAAGAATCAGACATTGCCTGTCTTATTCTCTCCTGAGTCCTTATTACTTCCCCTAAATGGACTCATTCACTCAACAATTTGTTGAGTGAATCATATCAAATAGAAAAAAAATATTGTACTGCTTTATACATAGTTTCAGGGTGATAAGTTTTCTAACCAAATAGTAAATTCAAGGAACCTTTGTAGAAAGTTGGTTTGAAGTTCTTAAATGAATATTTTGAAAACAGCTTTACCCAAATTTTAGATATTCATTCATATAATTCTTAAAATTTTAGAATAAGCATAAAAAATTGGAAATATAGTACTAGATCCAATTCCTTTTCTGAAGCTTTTGGTATTATGTTGCTCACTCCTGAGTACTTTCATGTAACTAACAAGGACATTAATTTCATTCCTAATTAAAAGGACATTCTTCTACATAAACACATTTGATCACCAATAAGGATATTTACATGGATACATTACTATGGTATATTCCTCAGAATCCAGGAAAGTTTCATCAGTTGTCCTGGTCGTGCCCTTGATAGCAAAAGAATCCAGGAGAATGGCTCACTGTATTAGTCGCCATATTTATTTAGCTCCCTTCACTTTGGAACAGTTCTTTAGGCTTACCTTGACTTTAAAGTTTAGGCCAAATATTTTGACGAACATCAATTACTTTTGGTTCCTCAGGATTAGATGCTTCCTCAGGATTAGACTTAATTATGAGTCTAGTGGGAACATGACAAAGGGATGTTAAGTTCTTCTCACTGCATCCTATCATGTGGCATGTGATTCTGATTTGTCCATTACTGATGATATTTATCTTCACCTCTTGATTAAAGTGGTACTCTCCAGATGATACTTTAAAGTTATTATTTCTCTTCATAATAAATATTTTGTGGGGCTGACACTTTAATATTATGCAAAATATCTCTTTTTTCCCTCATCAAAACTTTCCTGTATCTAAGTATGTTTTTTCCTCTTTTATTTGGTTATAATCCATTATTTTCTTTATTTGTTATGATGCTCAAACTGCTCCCAGTTGAACCAGTAGAAGTTTGTTCAAGCTGGATTCTATGTCCTTTTGATATTGTCTCCACCATTTTTCTGCACATCCTCGATCTCTAGCACAGCAAGACACAGTAGTTTATCTTGTCCCTTTTACTACTTCAATTCTGTTAATACCCAGCCATTTCTCCAGGGAGCCTTAATATTCCAGGATCATCATGTACTTTCCCTACTTCACTTTGTCTATAAACGGCTATTTCCCCAATGAGACTTAGTGTCTTTTGCTGAAGAATGGTAATTAGAAACCAAGGTCTGCACACTTGGTGTACTTATTACTATTGAGGTGTCATTGCTATTAGACCCCTCAGCAGATTTAAACAAAATGAATGTAATAAATATTCATATCTTATTTCCATATATGTGTGTAGATATATCTATACAAGAACTATGTTAAATAGAAATGGTGAAAGAGGGTATCCCTGTCTTGTTCCAGTTGTTAGAGGGAATGACTTCAATTTTTCTCTATTTAGAATGATGTTGACCTGGGGCTTAGCATAGATAGCCTTTATGATGTTGAGATATGTTCCTGTTATCCCAAGTTTTTCTAGTGTTTTGAACATAAAGAGGTGCTGTATTTTGTCAAATGCTTTTTCTGCATCTATTGAGATGATCATATGATTCTTATCTTTAAGTCTATTGATGTGATGAATTACATTTATTGATTTCTATATGTTGAACCAACCTTGCATCCCTGGGAAAATTGGGAATTAAACCACCATTTGACCCAGCTGTCCCTCTTCTCAGTCTATACCCAAAGGACTTAAAAACAGCATACTACAGGGACACAGCCACATCAATGTTTATAGCAGCACAATTCACAATAGCTAAACTGTGGAACCAACTTAGATGTCCTTCAATAGATGAATGGATAAAAACAAAGGGGCATATATACACAATGGAATACTACTCAGTAATAAAATAGAATAAAATCATGGCATTTGTAAGTAAATGGATGGAGTTAAAGAAGATAAAGGTAAGTGAAGTTAGCCAATCCCAAATGCCAAATGTTTTCTATCATATAAGGAGGCTGATTCATAGTGGGATTGGGAGGGAGAGCATGGGAGGAATAGATGAACTATAGATAGTGCAGAGGGGTTGGAGGGGAAGGGAGGGGGCATGGGGTAATTAGTGATGGTGGAATGTGATGATCATTACTATCCAAAGTACATGTATGAAGACATGAATTGATGTGAATATACTATGTATACAGAGATATGAAAAATTGTGCTCTATATGTGTAATAAGAATTGTAATCCATTCTGCTGTCATACCTTTTTACATAAATTTTTTTATTTATATATATCTAAACAAATGGATCTAAAAGGACTTAAAAACAGCAAACTATAGGGAGGCAGTCACATCAATGTTTTTAGCAGCACAATACACAATAGCTAAATTGTGGAACCAACCTAGATATCCTTTGGATAAAGAAAATGGGGTATATATACACAATGGAATATTGACTCAGCAGTAAAAGAGAATAAAATCATGGCATTTTCAGGTAAATGGAGTTGGAGAATATAATGCTAAGTGAAGTAAGCCAATCCCAAAAAACCAAATGCCACATATTTTCTCTGATATAAGGAGGCTGATTCATAATGGGGATGGGGGTAGCATGTGAGGAATAGATAAACTCTAGATAGGACAAAGAGGAGGGAAGGGAAGGGAGGGGGAGTGGGGGTAGGAAAGATGGTGCAATGAGACAAACACCATTACCCTAAGTACATGTATGAAAACATGAATGGTGTGACTCTACTTTGTGTACAACCAGAGACCTGAAAAATTGTGCTCTATTTGTGTAATATGAATTGAGTTGCATTCTGCTGTCATATATAACAAATTAGAATAAATAAAAATAAATTTTTAAAACCATAAGTTTACATAATTCGTCCAGCTCAGTCTTCTCTAAGCATATCCTAATTTGCTGTTTCCAGTAAATTCATATAGTAATGATGTGTCAGCCTAAATGTGTCCCAAATCTAGCCTGACCTTTGATTGCAAATTTTAAAAAATTCTGTCTACAATTGGTATTGTTCCATTGAAGTCTAAGATAAATTGTAAACAGGGTATTTTGGGGAAAAGACATAGGAAAGAAAGATTGAGAAATGTATATTTCCTATTCAAGTGATTATTTAATAACAATTTTTCTCAACTATCATTCCCCATGTGTTAAAATATTTTAGAGTGTAGCACACTTTCCCAATCTTCCCCATCTGGATCCTTGTAACCACTGTATATGCTTTTACTGCCTTCATATCTTTTTAGCTAAGGAATAAGCTTTTGTTCTTAAGTGTATAAGTTTGTTTACCATATCATACTTTACATTTTATGATATCTGAGTTGTGTATAAATAAGATCAACTTATGATCTGAGAGTGGGTGAAATAAGATATTCAGCAATTTCAGGCTTTCCAATAAATATCAAGGCCAAATTATTTTTATCAATGGTAAATGCTGAGAAGTCCAGAGGAAATAGATTTTTTTTTGATACCAGGGCTTGAACTCAGGGGCACTTAAGCACTGAGCCACATCACCAGCCCTTTTTTGTATTTTATTTAGAGACAGGGTCTCACTGAGTTGTTTAGGGCCTTGCTAAGTTGATGAGGCTGGCTTTGAACTTGAGATCCTCCTGCCTCAGCCTCCAGAGCTGCTGGGATTAGAGGTCTACACCATCCTGCCCCACCCTCAGACCTCTTTGGCTAGTCAGAAACAAGGTGTCCACAAAAATGAACATATGAAGATTGCCTAATAATTGGGTAACACAAATCCAATCTGAATGTTTTAATAAATCTATGTGAGTGTGGATTGACCATTAAAATATTAGTTTTCTTTAATATCAGTAAAAGTATGGAAATGTGGTGAAGTGTAATTATTAGGAAAAAAGGATGGGCATTGGGACTAGAAAAGTTGTGCATAGAGGGAACCAGAGTTGTTGCAGCCTGGTCTCCCCTGATGGTGAAGGATAATTCCTGTGTTGAAGGTGAGGTAAAAACAAACATGCTCCACCCATCAAGTACCCATTCTGGAGTGCAGCCTTGAGCAGGATCCCCAGTTAGTCTGTTGACATAATGAAAGTTAGTAATTAATTTAATATCAAAACATTGTAGGTCTTGTCCTCAGTTATGCACCACTTTTGCGAGCAAGAACAAATTGCTCACTCTTTTCCTGCCTTTTGCTCCCCAGCTCTCCAGGAACACCTGAATGCCTAGAAGGCAGTTGTGTTTTCTACTCCAGCAGGAGGGCAGGTGAGTAGGAAAAATGGTGTTTGCTCTGAAGTAAGTTAACATTCCATCTCATTTAAAAGAAAGAAGCAAAATGATTCCTATAAAGGAGGAACATAAAAATATCTGAAGGAAACTGAATAGATTATTTAAGAGTCATTGTTATTCCATTTTAATGATTTCAGTTATGATATACATCATTAGTTTTCTATTAGCTTTTTAAAATTATGATTATACTGCTTTGTAAAGTAATGCTATTAAAACTAATGTTTTACAATATAAAGGGAATTAGTTCATTGTAGCTTTTTATGTTTCCAGAAAAATTAATTTTGGTAAAAGTCTTTAACTTCTACGGCTCAAACAGAAAAGTGGAGGGTAGGAACCCATCCATCTTGACTCTTTAAGCCTAGTTTTTTGTTATTGTGGAAAAAAGATAGAGTTCAAATAATTTGCTTTTCAATTTTTTGCTGTTATGAATACTGTAAAATGGGCATTATTCAGATTTCAAGAATTTTTTCGCCTGATATTTGAAGATAGAGCAAACATAAGGTTTCATTCTTGTCGAGGAGCCAATAACACATTGATTCCTGTCGGCCACTAGATGTCCCCGTAGAGATGTTCCTACCTTAGAGGCTTCTGTAAAAAGATACCTACAAGGCCATGCGGTGGCTGGCTACTCCCAAAGCCCTTTTCCTTACTTTAAGTTAGCACCCAGAACACAAAAGATGCTTTCTCTTCCTTTCTAGAGGATTAATTACAGAGGACTGGATGGGACTTGAATTTAGCAAAAAGTGAGTAGAATTAGGTTTAGGCATTTGCCCAATATTTATATTTATTAATTACTCAATCAAGAAAAATGAGAAGCCTTGCAAGTGTAGTTGAGATTTATAGACAACTTTAATTAAGCATGCTAAAATAAGGAGTGGCTTGGGTTTGAATTAGATAACAAAATGACAAATAATAACAATTATATTTGTTAATAAAATATTTTAATATTTGTATTTTGAATATAAAGGTGTTGAATGTTCTGGAAATTAAGGAAAATTTCAATAAGGAACTCATTCAGGCAATGTTGATCTCCAAAGGAAGTTGGAGTTGTTGAGATTTCTTATATAGCTTCTCACCTCATAACTCTTCTCTGTTCTCCATTCTGACAAAGGTTGACCATGCCAGCTGCCAGAGCAACATGACATGATGCCTTTACTTAAGTTAATATTTTTCATAAGTTCATTTAAGTTTTAGCTCTAAGATTACCAGCAAAAGGAGGAGGTAACTGAATATTTTGATTCAAAGGGTCACTTAATTTGGGGGTTTTATAGAGTCACAAAACTGGATTAGAATAATAAAATTCATGTTTTAAAAATTATCTGAATCATTCAATAAATTTTGGTGTAAACCAAAAAACCAAGGCAAACCAAACCAAACAAACAACAATAACAGCAACAACAACAAAAACTGAATACAGTGTTAAAAATATTTCTATTTAAAACCTGTCTTTGATTTTTAAAATTGGGAAATAATTATTTATTAGAATAGGTGAATCATTTCAAAAGGATAAATCCTGTATTTAAAATAATATAGACTCCATTTATCAATTGAATATGCCTTATCAACTTTGTGACTATATAATCTCTTATAATGTTGATTTAGTATTTCATGATGTATTACTTACAATCCAACATAAGAATAATATGGGGAAATGAAAAATGAATTAATGGAAAATAACTAAAATTTTTTCTTTTTCTAAAGAAAGCATCTGCACTGGGGGGTGGTGGTTATTTTCATAAAAACTTTCTTTTCAATATGGAAGAAAAAGACACAAGTGGACACCCAGTCTTTAGATTCCCTTAATTAAAGTGACAAATGGTGATATTTGAGCAAATTTGGAGGATGGGAACAATGGCAAGAGACTGACAAAGGCAATTACTCTATTGTCTCTAAAAATAGGGAGAAAATTATACAATGGAAGAGATAGAGGATTTGATAATCCTGGGAAAAAATTCTTAAATATTGAATGAAGTTTGTGAGCCCTTTAAAGAAGGAAAAACGGGTCATTAAAAATAAGCATATGAAATTACAAATGACAAGTGCTAGAGAGGATATGAGAAATCAGAACCCTGAGAGGAATGTAAGGTGGTTGAGCCAATTTGAAAAATGGACTGGCAATTCCTCAAATGATTTAACACTGAGTTACCATATGACTCAGCAAACCCACTCCTGGTTGTATACCCAAGAGAAATGAAAACATATGTTCACATAAAAACACATACTTGAATGTTTATAGCAGCAATATTCATCATAGCCAAGAGATGGAAGCAACCCAGATGCCCATAAGTGGATGAATGGGTAAGCAAAATGTGGTATAGCCATATGACAGAATAGAGTGCAATCACAAAAAGAAGTGAAGTACTGCTACCTGTTACAACATGGATGAACCTTGAAAACATGCTCGGTGGAAGAAGTCAGCCACAAAGGACCATATATTATGTTTCCATTTATGTGAAATATCTATGATAGGCAAATCTATAGAAACAGAATTAGTGTTTGTTCAGAGCTGGAACAGAGGTTAGAATTTGGGGTGTGACAGCGAGAGTTTCTTTTTGGTGTTGTGAAAATGTTCTAAAATTGATTATGGAGATTGTTACAAAACCCTATAAATACACTAAAATTCATTGACTCATACACTTTAAATGGGTGAATTGTACGCTATTCGAATTATCTCAGTAAGATTTTTTTTAAAAGAATAAGTATGGGTATGTGAAGAACACACACAATAAAACCTGGAGTTCTAACCCTCAGGTTTATAGTGATAGCATCCACATCAAAGTGTGGGTGAGAAAATGAGGATAGAAAAATTAGATGTGGCATAATCCTGAAGGACATTGTTCCAAATGCCATAATCCTGAATCTTGAAATTCTGAAAGATACCTGAAGTCTAAAATCCTGAAAGATCAAAAAACTGAAAATATAATTGTGGAAAAAATAATTTTAAATATGTAAAAGACATTTATTTAGATTTTTAAAAGAAGCTTTATTTGAAAAAAGTATATGTTTATTATTTGAAAATTCTTTTTAGATGTTCATGACAGTAGAGTGTATTTTGACATATTATACATAATGGAGTATAACTTATTCTAATTAGGATCCCATTCTTGTGGTTGTACATGATGTGGAGTTTCATGGTGGTGTATTCATATATGAACATAGGAAAGTTATGTCTGATTTATCCTACTGACTTTCCTATTTTCATCCCCTCTCCCTTTCCTTCATTCTCCTTTGTCTAATCCAATGAACTTCTATTCTCTTATCTCCCTTATGGTGGGTTAGCATTCTAATAACACAGAGAACTCTTTAATTTTAATTTTAATTAAGCCTTTAATTTTTGGGGATTGTCATATTTCACTTAGCATGATAGTCTCCAGATCCATCCATTCACTGGCAAAAGTCATAAGGTTATTGGTTTTTTTGAATGAATAATATTCCATTGTGTATTAATACCATAGTTTCTTTATCCATTCATCTGTTGAAGGGCACCTAGGTTGGCTTCATAGCTTAGCTATTATGAATTGAGCTGCTATAAACATGGATGTATCCATGCCTCCGTAGTATGCTGATTTGAAGTCCTTTGGGTATATACCAAGGAGTGGGATAACTGGGTCAAATGGTGGTTCCATTCCAAGTTAAAAAACACATTTAAATATGACAGAATACTATATACATCATTTTACATAATGAATATACAATAAGAACATACATATTTTTGCATACATATACACCCAGGTATACTGCCAGTATAATAGTGGCAGTATACCTGGGTGTATACCTGGGTGTATACCTGGGTGTATAGCAAATGAATTATATTCTTAAAGAAATAGGTCAAAAGTTAAATGTTTAAATGCAGGTCACTATAGTTGGTAATTGTATGCATCCTGCTTTATAACTGCAGTCTTCTGAAATACTGTGATAAACAACCTAAGACTTTTTTTTTTTTATTTTGACAATACTGGGAACAACCTAAGTCTTTCGATAAGATTGATTTAAAACTGCAGTGGGTCAGCACTGCATATGCAATTGCTTTTAAGTGCAGAGATCGCAAAAAATTTTGTCTTTCATAAATGCAGATGTACAAAAAGGACATTTCTTCATTTGCTGAGGCAGTTTCAACATTTTTACATACACCAATTCTTACACATAAATTCAACATTGTGATAAAGCAATTTGCAGAGTAAAATTTTGCAAAACCATGCCTAAAATGAGTTGGGACTCTAAAAGTCTTTACAGAATTTATACCTCCAGTATTGGAAATTATGCAAAGATGAAATGCATAATAACATAATCCTGGCAATTGAAAATATTGAGGAATAAAACTAAAATGAAAGACAAAAAAAAAAGGGAAAATCAAAATAAAACTACCCCCCCTCCCACACACACCAAGAGGAAATTATAAAAAGTATTTCACAGGGATGGATTATAGGCAATTGCATGGAAATAATCCATAATGGCTGACTTTGATGATTATCAACTATGTTTTGAATTCTTGCATTACAATAAATAGTTACTTTTTTTTTTTCCTGTTAGGAAATGGCTCTCCTTGAAGAGTACATTCACATTAGTTTCCTAGGTGGTGCTGCTGTTTTGGAATTCTTGTGTTTCAGCGTTCACCAACATAAACATCCCCCTTTCTTCTGTGCCGGGCTGCATGTTGTTTTGGGTATGTGGAAATCTATTCCACATGTGCTCATATATAGACCGCAAGAAAAAATACTAGTGATTAGATGGCGATATTGGTGTGTGTCTTCTTATCCTACTGTGCACACAATTATTTTTGAATCAGTCAGTAGCTTTGTGCCACCTTCAGGCAAATATAGCTTTTATGAAGCAAAAGCTCCTCGGAATTCATTAGCTAGAGAAATGTCAATACAGACAAATGGCACATTTTTAAACTGAAGTTTTGCTTGTTGCTGTGTAGTGTGACCCATCCCGTCCCCAGAATTCAGTTTTCTACTCCTCTTCTGCAGCCTTTATCCAAGGGGATTACGGTTTGGGGATTTTGGCATTTAGGAGTTTAGCATTCAGAAGTTTAGTCTTTTGGGATGATGATCTTGGGAATTTTAGACCTTAGGGATTTAAAAAATTTGTTCTAATTAGTTATACATGACAGTAGAATGCATTTTGACACATCCTACATACTTTAGGGATTTTGATCTTTAACATTTGGAATTATGGCATTTGAAATTGTGACTTTTGAGATTCTGACTGGCACTGATGGCATCCTAAGTCATTCTTAGGATGTTCTCCCAGAATATGAAACCTCACCCCTCACCATGGATGTTGCCTGAGCTGGGGGCTGCTCTTGTTCCCTGAGGAACCCACGTAACTTCTGTTCTTGTGTTGGAGCCTCTGCTCTAGATTTTGGAGGAGTACATCACACCTCTTCATTCACTCTTGTCCCTTATCTCTTCAATTCCAACCAGTGGGGGAAATATCCCATATCTCACAACTTATAGATGCCATTTTGAACATCATTATTTGACAGAATTTTGATAGCCTGAGGAGAATTTGGAGTGCTGTAGGCTAGGCAACAGTTTGGATGATTATTATATATTGGTAATTATTATATAGCAGTGATGTACCAAAATGATCCAGGAAGTTAAGCTGCTTAACTTAACTATAGAGGCTTATAAGCTGATTATAGGCCTCTCTTGTTCATATTATTGAGTACCACAATTTCTTCTCTGTGATGTGGGTGAGGGGTTGCAATGGCAGGTTGACCACAGTAAGACACCCAAAG